GGGTTTGCATTGAGAAGTCTGCTGTGATTCTGATGGGCTTTCCCTTGTATGTGATTTGTTTCTTTTCTCTCACTGCTTGTAGAATTTTGTTCTTCTGTTGGATTTCTGGAATCCTAACTATTATACTGGCATTGATTTTTATAAAGCTGGGATTGTGCTATATAACCAGCCTTTGATTTTGTTTTTCATTTACCATGACTATTTTTCCATGTCATTAAATAACCTTCAAGAACCTCAAAGTCATCTTGTCTGGGAAAATCCATTTTATTAACAGAAAGGGCTCTCTCCCTTATTTCCCAATTCAATAGGGCCTTTTGTATTTTGTATAATCACCGAACATGTATACGCAGTGTTTGGAGGCGGATGTGAGAAGCGTGTTTCGGCCGGGTGACATTTGTGCAGGGAGCCCTGAGGAGCCCACCCAGAGGACAGCAGTGCAAGCTTGGCCTTGTCGCTCGGCCTGCACTCTGCTGGGGACCCGCAGTGCCGCATCCCCCCTGTCCTTTGAGCCCCTGCTCATTGTTTTGGTTGGGGAAATAGAAGTCATATAGCAGCTGAGGATGCTGGTGACAGAGCCTTCTCTTTTTTCCTTTAAAAATCTCTGGAAGATGATTATCTCGTAACAGATAATTGCGTGTGTGTGAATGAATGAATGAATGAATGAGCAAATGCTTCGGCCACCTCCTGGGAACGTTACTCTTTGGTGAACATGGGTTCTAGTTTTGCACAATCAGGTATTCAAGCCTGTTTTCCATCTGTAGCTAAGTGTAGTATTTTATAAATGCAGGTAGAGCCAAGCTATAGCCAATATCTTTAAGCTCACAGATCAGGACAGATTGTCTCAGAAGTCGGGTGAGCTCGAGACAACAGCCAGTGTGACCCTATGGCCTGCTGTCCTGGGGAGGGAGGAGTCATGTAAATAATGAGCCCAGACAACCACTGCGCTGCTGTGGGTCGCCAGGTCCCCATGAGGCTCGGTCTGGGCCTCTCAGCCCTTTGCATCCTGTGAGCCTATGCTCACACTGCCTGGATCTCACGTCTCGGGCAGACTGGGTCTCACTGAGTATCACCTCATCTGTCCTCCGAGGAGCGTACTCCCGAGCCAGTCTCCTTACTGCTCACGAGTTCGGAGCCGAGCTTAGACTTTCTCAGTTGTGGGACACGGCAGCGTAGTGAGTGCGCATTACACTGGGGTCTTGAGCCTTGGTTTCCCCACCTATGAAACAGGGACGGTGACAGGCCGCCTTGACGGAGCACAGAGATGAGCACGCGTGCTGATGTCTTGCCCGGGACCTGCCCGTGCCGTACGTTTACTGATGGGAGGGTGTGCAGCTGTGACCCCTGGAGCTTCTCATCAGTCTGCTAGGCCCAGTCTGACGTAATGGAACTCTTCCCAGTAGGGATGACTTGTAGAAGTCAAATATCTGAAAGTTTTGTACAGATTGTTAGGACTGTGTCTCTGACTCCAAGATAAGTGCCAGTTGCCCTCGGCGGGAAGAGCCTTGCACTCTGAGCCCTCGTGGTGTCTCCTGCGAGGACGTCCCTGTCTCGTGTCCCATCCCTGGGGTGTACTCTCCCCTCCCGCAGGCTCTGCGCGGTGCTTGTTCAGATAGGGCAGATGCCTTTGTGCTCTCTGCCCGAGTCCCGTGTTGGCTGTGTGCTGATCTTTATGTGAGTAAAGCTTTTAATGAGAAATGCCCAACTGTCATATTTAGGGTTAGACTGCTGTTTCCATCTCCTCTACCACGCATTAGCTCTGGCTTTGGAACATCAGTTACCTGTACTTGATACAGTTTCATAGACATGTTATAGGGATTAGATAAGAAACACATATGGCGCCTAGACAATAGAACGTACGAGGTGTCTGAAATGAATGTCCTTCGGGCTTTAAAGTCTCTCCTCTTTTGAGCAATCTTATCAGTGTACACACGTGTGTACATTTGCTAAACTCAGTGTGAAACACACAGGACGTGACTTTAGAAATAAACACAGTGAGAAATCAGGTGGTCATTACAGCAGTTTTGTTCTTGCAGATATTTCCCCTTTCTGGCTAAACAGAAGCCGGGGCACCCGGAATGTGACATCCTGACCAACGTCTTTGCAGTTCTCTCAGCAAAGAATCTCTCAGACGCCACAGCCGGCATTGTGATGAACATGATCGACGACCTCCTGAACCTTCCAGATTTCGAGCCCTCGGACACGGTGCCGTGCTTGCCGGTGACTGGCTGCGTGTACGCCGAGCCTGCGGGGGGCACAGCCGGTGGGTGATGCTGGGAGCCCACAGGGAGCAGGGCCCAAGTGCGCATAGCATCTTTTCTCCGCGAACTCATTCTCATTTTCGTAAGGGAGTTTTCTCTGCATAGATAGGAATACAGTTCATTTCAGGACAGGAAGTCTTGGTGCCTTCCAGGAAGTGGCCAGGTGGTTTCCCCTCTTAAAGTTCCACATTCTTCCTGCCACACTGGCCCAGCAGTCCCTGCTGTTAGCAAAAAATGGTTTCAGGGGTCTCTTAGGTACATTTTTTACTTCACTACTAGAGTAGCTCTTTTGAGTTAGAAATTATTTAATGTTTAGAGTTGAAAGTTTACTAAATTTTTATTAGTAGCCAAATGCTTTATCTGTCACCCAGGTGTCATACAGTTATGCTTTAAGAGAATTTTTAAAAATCAAACATTAACCACTGTCTGTTTCAGAGTCCATCACTATGGGAGGAAGATTGATCCTACCTCATGTGCCTGCAATTCTTCAGTACCTCAGCAAAACCACAATAAGTGCAGAAAAGATGAAAAAGAAAAAGAATAGGGCACAGGTCAGCAAGGAACTCGGCATCCTTTCAAAGTGAGTGGAATACTGGTGCTGAGAGGGCAACATTCCCACCTGGGCTGTTAATTTTTTATAGTAGCATCTCGCTTAGAATGTGGCACTAGGACGTTTAGAAGGCTTTTGGTAGCATATGTGAGGCCCTGGGTCCAGTCCCCAGCACCAGAGGAGAAGGAGAAAAGAAGTGGAGCTGTCTGTAGGAACAAGGCCCAGGGTTCAGTCCCAAAAAGGTTTTTGTGTTTTAAATGCCCTCCACATTAAGTTAATGCAGAATTCAAGGTGTCTGCTAAACACTTCAAGCTTTTTATGGCTTCCGCTCTCATTAAATGAAATTAAATACAGCAGTCTCAAAAGTCCTAAGCCGGACTGACAGATTTGCTTGTGTGGACTTTGCGTATTTTGTTAAATTAAGCCTTGAGCTTTGTGAAGTCACATCCTGTTTTTGTTTTTTACTTTAGTTAATAAAAATAACCACCTTGAAGGAACAAATTATTTTGTTTTTGACCATCAAGAAGATCTTGCAAGGTTTTTTTTTTTTTTTTAAGAAGATCTTGGAAGGTTTTTAAAGGGTGTGTTTGTCAGTAAACCTAGGAGTATGTAATTGTGATTTCTCTAGGGGACAAAGGTAGTAAGAAATGATTCTATCTTGAATTTTAATTTAACAGGAACTGGACTTAGTTATTAGATTTTTTTTTGTTACTCTCCCCATCAGAAACTTAAAAATATAGGGGTCGGGATTTAGCTCAGTGGCTTCACTGCCTGCTACGCAAGCGCAAGGACCCGAGTTCTATCCCCAGTACCAAAAAAAAAAAGAAAGAAACTTAAAAATACATTAGAATCTTCTAAAAACTTCTTTGCAATGTTTTGTTTATACTGTTATATTTCTAAGTTATGCAGAATGGAAATCATGCTATATTCATCTCATTTCATCTCAGGCAGTGTGGTAATGGAAGGATGGAGAGGTGATTAGGCAGAAAAACCAGAGTTTGAAAGACCTGCTCTGCTTCCTCCCAGCAGTGTGACATTGATTTCTCCGAGTCTCATTTTCCTCTGGGCAAATTGAAGCCAGTAATTCTTCTCACAGGGCTCTGTGGGAGTTACTGGAAATTCTGTACATGAAACTTTAAGGCTCGGCACGGCTTGGTGGATCAGAACCTTGGTTGGTAACCTGCCTACGTGTGGAGATGCTGTGAAGCGGGGGAAGGCAGGAGCCAGGAGCCTGGGGTGAGAGGAGGAGAGGCCACTGCCGCCTGCCTGAGGGCAGCTTCCAAACAGCATGGTGGATCGGGACGTTGTGTGTTAGCTGTGTCTTGGTCACTGATGCCTCTCTCCAAAGAGTTGACCTCAGGAAGATGTTCTAACTTCTGTGTCTTCCTGACACACCCGTGTGTCTCCTTTTCCAGGATCAGCAAATTTATGAGAGATGAAGAACAGAGCTCAGTGCTCATCATGCTCCTCCTTCCCTTCCTCCACCGAGGCAGTGTCGCGCAGGTATGAGGTGTGGCGTGGCAGCTTGCTTTTTACTTTGAAGGGGAGCACTTGTATTGTTAGCTTCTGTGATGCAAATTTCCCAAGAACTCAAAAGACTATACAGAAAGAAAAAAGTTGAAATAGAGGGGAAATTGGGACAGAAATAAAAATGGACAGGGGCCAGGGATTTAGCTCAGTGGGTTCACCGCCTGCTGTGCAAGCGCAAGGACCTGAGTTCGATCCCCAATACAAAAAAAAAAAAGAAATAGAAATGGACAGGTGAGAGGGACCGAGACAGTGTCATCTGCCCCAGCATGGTGATGTTAACCCCTTCCGTTTCCTGTGTTCAGCCTCCAATCCTGTCAGAAGTTTCTTTCTGACATTAACCATTAACAAATGGAACCCCGGGAGTGGAGTGCGCTGCCGTACAACAGAGCTGAAGGAGCATCAGGCTTCTGACATGCAGGCTTAGCCAAGAGTGCTGACTTGGTCCTTAGACCTGGTGGCACATCCCCCGGAGGCCCAGGGACACTGGGGGCCTCAGTGGCAGCACTGAGCTTCAGTCACTGTTTTCCATCAGCAAACCCATCTTGTAGGCTGTTTATTGACTGGACTGGTGATGGGGAACCTTTCAGAGCTGTCAATGACACAAACAGCCTGCTGCAGCCCAGGCCATGGGTTTGCCACCTCTAGACTAGACCTTTGAAGACATGTGTCAAAAACCACGTATGTGCCCTATTAGAATTAAAGAAACCATGAGAGACATATTGTGGGTTTTACAAGACTAGGAAATAAGTTTCCCGTTACTACTTTCACTCTTGTCCATATTTGTTTCTGTGCTATGATACATTAAAGTACAGATGGACTCGTTCCGTAAATGACTGAACACAGTTTTCCCTCGTTCTTGGTAAGGATACGGAGGTCGATATCCTAGTGACGGTGCAGAATCTGCTGCAGCACTGTGTGGACCCCACAAGCTTCCTCAAGCCTCTGGCCAGACTCTTCTCAGTCATTAAGAACAAGCTGTCAAGACAGTTGCTGTGTACAGTCTTCCAGGTGTGTAAATGTTCATTTTTACCCCAAACCACCTTGCTTTGTTTTGGGGAGGGGGGAGACAGGATCTCACTGTGCAGTCCACACTGGCCTTGAGCACACAGCAGTCCTCCTGCCTCAGCCTCCCGAGTGCTGGGATTATAGGCATGCGGCACCATACCACTGTTTTTAAAAGATAACCATGATGTGTAGGATGCTGCAGTGACTCTGTGCACCAGTGTGAATTTGGAGGGACAGGAAGCTGAGGGGAGGCAGAAACGTTAAGGCATTCACTAAAGATGTTCTGTTCTTCTTAGAGTCTGTCTGATTTCGAAAGTGGACTAAAATACATTACTGATGTTGCCAAGGTAAGAAAGAATTCTTCTCTTTGGCCTCGAAAGTACGCTCCTTTCTGTTTATTTAAGATGTATGTGCCTTCATTCATGTGATTTCAATGGCATTCTCGTAGCTGAATGCCTTTGACCAGAGGCATCTCGATGACATCAACTTTGATGTCCGCTTCACCGAGTTCCAGACAATCGCGTCTCACATTAGAGAGATGCAGACCGTGGACGTCAGCTACCTGATTGCAGTCATGCACAACTGCTTCTACAATATGGAGGTGAGCTCTGCAGCCACAATGTGTGGATCGTTTCTTAGTGTTTTTGTTTTGTTTTGTTTTTGGTACCGGGGATCGAACTCGGGTCCTTGCGCTTGCAAGGCAGGCAGCGGAACCACTGAGCTAAATCCCCAGCCCCTAGTGTTTTGACAATATGATGTCTAACACAGTGGCCTAGTTTCTTCATTTATCTTTTGAGGGGGACCAGGGTCTTTAGTGTAAAAGTCCTGTTAGATGTGAAATTTTTGTTTGGCGGAGATATCACTGTTCTCATGATTTGGAAAGCGGATATTTCAAATAAAACAGTGTATGTAGAAGCACTTTAAAAAAATCAAGGTGTGTATTAGAAGAGAAATCCATAGAAACAGAAAGTAAATAAGGTTTCCAACGGGTTGTTAGGAGGCAGGAACGAGATGCCGTCTCTGATGGGCATGGGGTGGCTTTTGGGCTTGATGGAAATCTTCTGAGATTAGACAGTGCGGTGGTTGTACAATCTTCTCTGTGTACTCAGAATGCTGCCTCTGCACTGAAGGGCTGAATTCCACGGTATTGTAATTGCATCTCAAGGTTTGAAAGTTAAGTGTTTCCCCACATGTTTTTTGGTGCACCTTGCTTACACAGACATGTGGGTTTCACCTAGGGAAACATGCAGTGTCTGTCTTTCTGGGCCTGGCTTGTTTTGCTCACAATGATGATCTGCAGTTCCATCCATTTTTCTGCAGGTGACAAAATGTCCTTCTTTTTTGTGGCTGGACAGTACTCCATGCTGTGTAGATGCCATGTGTTCTTTCTCATGTTGATGGACAGCTAGGCTGGCCCCGTATCTTGGCTGTCGTGTATGGTGCCACAGTATGCGCGGTATGCAGGTCCCCTGTAGTGTGCTGGCCTCAGCTCCAGGGTGTAAGCCAAGGAGTGCTGGCCAGGCAGCCCCGTGGCAGCTCTGCTTCTTGTCTTGAGCACTGTGCAGGTTTCCACAGTGGCTGTGCCAATTTGCATCCCTGCCCACAGTGGAGAAGAGTTCGTGTCCTCTGTGCTCGATGTGGCCTTTCTGCCTGGTTGAGGTGGGATCTCCGTGTGGCTTTGGTCTGTGTCTCCCTCCTGGCGGGAGGTGTTGGGTGTTTTCCTGTCCTCACTGGCCATCTGCATTTCTCCCTTTCAGAAGTGTCTGTTCCATTCATTTGCCCGTTAATTGATGGGGCTGTGTGATCTTTTGGTGTCGAGTGTTTTGAGTTCTTTTTATATTCTAGGTACCCTCTGTTGGAAGGATGGTTGGCAGAGGTTTTCTCCTATTCTGTAGGCTGTTTCTTCACTGTTAGTTGCTTCCCTTGCTGTGCAGACTTTAACACAGCCCCATTTGTTATTTCCTGTGTTGTTGAAGTCTTGGTCAAGAAGTCTTTGTGCCCGTAGTTTGCCTTCTTTATTGACGGTATGGTTAAAAATAAGGGTCTGAGTGATAGGTAGCATGTTGCTAAACTGGATAAATACAGAGCCCTTGCTCACGGCCAGCCGTGTGGGGAAGTGGCTGGCCCCATGGCATCTCATCATCGTCCGTCTGACAGTGGGGCCCTGTGGTGTGTGAGGAAGCCGGCCTCCCTGTGAGGAGAGGAGCGCACTGCGTGGGCCCGGAGCAGCTTCCCCGCGTCGCACCGTCCGCTCTCACGTCTAGCAGTGGCCTAGCGGAGTAATGAGAGCTGGTTTTAGGGAGCCTTGTCTTCTGCTTGCTTTGGAAAGTAGAGCTAATTAAAGGGGTACTTGGTCATCCTTCCTGAAACTGAGGGGCACTTCTCGGCCGGCGGGTGTGACTCCAGTCAGTTCCTGTACTGCTCAGCTCTCCGTTGGTTCTTTAGGTTCCCAATGGTCGTGCGACATTAATCTGGAGGGCTTTTTACGCAGAGCAGTGACACCATGTCACCCTTGTTAGGAATCACACTGTGCACTGTGTATAGTTACTTCACCAAGTGCCTGTGTTTCATCTCCAGTTAGGGGACATGTCCTTAAGCGACAATGCCAGCATGTGCCTGATGAGTGTCGTCCGGAAGCTGGCTGCCCTGAGTGTCTCGGAGAAGGACTTCCGGGAGGTCATCCACCGCTGCCTCCTAGAGAGACTGAGGAAGGGGCTGAAGAGCCCCACAGAGGTACTGCAGTACTCTGGGGAAGCCCATTTGCGCTTGGTCCGCTTTGGTTTGGTTTCCCTCTGCCGCTTTGTTGTGTAGAAAAGCAGTCAGGTGCACATTTAACTAAGCACCTTGCTGGATCAGTGGTCAGCAGGCCTCAGGCACACAGGCTATCAGGAAGTAGATTCTTTCTAAAATGAAACTTTTCTTTTTCCACTTGACACTTGCAGAGTATTCAGCAGGATTACACGACGATCCTTTCGTGCTTGGTTCAGACCTTCCCAGAGCAGCCGGAGTTTAAAGACCTGGTGCAGCTCACCCAGCAGCAGGACCCGGAGATGGACTTCTTCGAGAACATGAAGCACATCCAGGTAGGAGGGAGGCCCTGCCGCCCTCCTCAGAGGAGCAGCCAGCCAGCCTCTTGTCCTTCAGAAAGACGCACTTGCAGGCCCCACAGGGTGAAACCTCTCTGTCCCTGGGGCTGGAGTTTCTGGTGCCTCAGAGGCTGCGGGTGAAAACAGCGCCCCCTTTCTGTTTCCTAAGAAGTTTAGCGGCTCAGGGCTGCTCTGTTAGAAGAAAGCTGTGGGTTGTGTTTCCGAGAGGAGTTTGCACGGTAGCATGGCCCAGATTGCGCCCCTTCATCTTCTCCTGGGAAAAGGACATGGTGTCGCAGTGGCCTGGTTGTGGGTGAGGTCTCAGTAACTGGTGCGAACTCGATCTGCTCACAGATCCACAGAAGAGCGAGGGCCTTGAAGAAACTGGCGAAGCAGCTAACGGAAGGCATAGTGGTGCTGTCCTCCAAGTCTCTGCAGAATTACATCATGCCCTATGCCATGACTCCGGTTTTTGATGAGAAAATGCTCAAGGTAGGGTGTCACCGCGCCTGGCTGTGACTGCGTTTGAAGTTGGTTTCGTGTAGGGAGCATTTAGCTGGTTATCACTTCCTATCCAGTCTGACAAAATCTCCCATTTACATCTAATGTGGTTACTCATAAGGTTGAGTTTAAATTTGTGGCCTTGTTATTTATTTTCTACTTGCCTTGTTTTCTTTTTCTCTTTTTCCTTCTGTTCCTTCTTTTGTTTGGATTTTTTAATGTCTACATTAGTTTTAAACCATATAATATGTTGTTATTTTGGCTTTATACAATAATCTTTTAAAGAGATAAGAAAACGTATTTGTAATTTCCGGTGGTCTTCATGCCTGTGTGTAGATCCAGATGTTCGCCTTATATCCTGAGTCTGTCGTTCTGGCTGATAGGATGATGTTCTCATTTGGTGGCTGTCACGTGTCCCTCTCCTGTGGCTCTTTCCCCACTCGTCCTTGCTTGCGTGTGCTGTCAGCACCAGCTGCAGGGCCAGGGCCTCCGCCACTGTGGCCTCAGCTCTCCTGCTGCAGCCTTACATTCTCCACGCACGGCAGTGTGGGTAATTCCAACTCTCTTAAGGATCCCCATCCTGTCTGATGTCCACAGTCTAAAACCTGCTGCTCGTGGACTGTCCACTCTTCTAGTTTAACGTGTGAAGCCAAACCTGGTTCCTTGCTGTCATCAACAACATTCCCTGAGAAATGTCTCCGAGGCACTGAGCTTTCTTTCTTTCTTTCTTTCTTTCTTTATTTTGGTACCAGGGAACAAACTTGGGTCCTTGTGCTTGTGCAGCAGGTAGTGAAACCACTGAGCTAAATCCGAGGCTACCGCACTGTGTTTTTGAGTGCTGAGAAGTGTGGTGAATGATCTTGGACATCGTCACCTCCATGTTTTTGCAGTGCTGGAAATTGAACCCAGGGCCTCGTGCATTTCTTTTCCAGCTTGTGTCCATCGTGGGAGTCTCACCCACCGCCTAGCCTTGACCTCATCAGGAGGGCGAACCAGAAGAGAGCCCAGAACACCTAACACCCTTAAGGAGGGCATCGCCCCTCTGAGCTGATAGGGTCTTCTCCTGGGCTTGGAGGGAGGAACGGCACAATTTGGATGTCTCTTCCCCTTCTGTAGTTACCCATGCTGTTGGCTGAGCTCCTCATGTCCTGAGAAGCCATGTGTTTTGCCAGTAGTATTTATTCTCTGTCATGCTCTGTGTTTACTTTACAGCATGAGAACATAACCATTGCGGCCACGGAACTTATTGGAGCTGTTTGCAGACACCTCGCCTGGCCTGCCTACGTCTATTACCTGAAGCACTTCATCCATGTCCTCCAGGCAGGGCAGATCCATCAGAAGCTGGGCGTCAAGTACGGGCGAAGTGTCTGTTGTAGCTTTGTTTCAGAAATGCAGCCTTAGCATTGCTTCCTGCCTTGGTCCTCGGTTCTCTGGTTCTCTCGGTTTCCAGTTATGTAGTGTTAATGACGTTACGGTGATGCTTGTTAAAGTAAAAAACACTGGTAGAAGTCACTTCGGTGTTTGTGTCTTTAAGTTTCCTCTCAGTAGTCAAGTGGGACTGATGCCAAGTGGACATTTTTGTGTCTTGCATGAGCAGCTTGCTGGTGATAGTACTGGACGCGTTCCACTTTGACCACAAAACTCTTGAAGAACAGATGGGAAGAATTCAGAGTGAGGAAAGTAAGTTTTTAAAACTTTCTTAAACTAGGTTTTCACCACCTGGGATAACTGATGATTTGTGAGTCAGGGCGCCTGCCTTCCCCTGTTCCCCACCCCACCGCCGGCCTTCAGGTGAGGCTCATGCCCCTGACAGCTCTGCTGCGGTTCGGCTTAGGCTTAGTGGCAGCTACGCCTCATACAAGATGCAAAGAGAAGCTGTCTCTAAAGTAGCCCAGAAAAGGCTTTTCCTGAAATGTGAGACTTCTGTTTTATTTTTAAGTTCTGGCAGATGTTTGTATACGTTCATCGTTCCCTGTGGGCAGTTGGTATGTGTACACGACACAGCTTAATTCTTCTTACTTCCCTGTCCCTCTCCCCTCCTCCATTTCTTAGGCCCCTTCCATGTGTGAAAGATCTGTCTCTGTTTCCTATTATCTGTCTTTACTTTGCTATTTATTTATAATGTGGGGTCTTTTTCCAGCCCTGGGGATTGAACTCAGGACCTTGCACTTGCCTGGCCCTTGGGTTTTTTATATACGAGAAACCATGTGATAGCTAAGCTTGTGTGCCTGATTTATTTCACTTAACATTATGGCTCAGTGGTGCCGCGAAGGCTGGCGGTGGGTGTGAGGCGCAGGGGAAGGCAGGCGCCCCCCGCAGGAGACCTGCCCAGCTCCGCACACGCTGCGCCTGTGGGTGCCCGGGGCTCCCCTTAGGGACCCCACAGTTTCAGCCTGAGAAACAGGTTCACGGGTGTGAAGCAACTTTCCCAAAGCTGCACAGCCAGTGAAAGAGGCCACAGTGCCGCTTCCTGAGAGAGAATGCCGGCCAGGCCGGCCCGGGACAGGCGGCCACAGGCACGTCCTCCAGCCCTGGGCACAGTCGCTCTGTCCCGTGGGCAGTGCTCCCTCCTCTGCTGAGGAAGCCAGCGCTACCAGGGCACAGCCTGTGTCCATGCAGGGTCCGCCTGCCTGGCCGTTCCGCACCGCCTGGTTTTCTTTAATCAGCTGGATCCTGCACAGCTTCTGGCTGCCCTTACGCCTTCCATACCTTGTCGTGGTTGTGAGTGTAATGTTACGGGAACCCCTGAGCACTGTGCTCAGGGTGCTTTCCTCTGGCTAAGCCTCCTCGTCCCCGTGTGTCCCCCACCGTGGGTCTGGATGGCTCTGCCCTTGCTGTGCCAGTTTCCAGGCTCCCTTGACTCTGTCCCTCGTGAGACTGACTCCTCCCTGGGAGGAAGCAGGAAGTGCAGCCCTTTCTCCGCCTGCCAATTCCTCAGCGTGTGCCCAGTCTGTCCCTCACTGTCGATCAGATAGGTTTTATTAGATGTCAGCGGTCAGGGACAGACCGCTTGTCACCACTGTCGCTCCTCATTGACTTAAGGTGAGTTTTATTTCTTAGACGCAGACACAGTAGAAATGACCGAGTTCCCAGAGGAGGAGGCCATGGAAGTAGAGCCCCCAGGTGAGGAAGAGAAGGACAGCACAAGGAAGGTGTCAGGTGCTCCTGAGGCGGCCGGAAACCTGGAGGTGGCCGACCCTGACGGGACAGCCGCTAAGGAGCCCACGTGTGCCCCTCCGTCCGTCTCCTTCCTCCCTCGGAATAAGGAAGAGCTGGAGAGAACAATTAACACCATCCACAGGACTGTAACTGGGGACATCCTGCCCCGGCTGCACAAGTGCCTGGCGTCCACGGTAATACCTGGATCTGGGCGGCTCCCGCGCTGGGCTTTCCTGCTCTCCACTCTCCGTCCTTCCTTCCCTCCCTCCCTCCCTCCTCGGCTCGGGCCCATCTCCACCACAGCCGTCAGTCATGCGCCTGCAGTAGCATTTCAAGTGGAAGATGCACGCTTTTTCTCTCTCCAAAGTAGATGTTCAAACGACTCCCACTTCCAGAGAAGTTGATTACAAATTAAACTGTGTTTCCCTTCCTGCTATTACCACTTCTCTACTGTTCACAATTCTTCCCTCCACTGCAAACAGGGCTAACATTCACTGGTACGTTTTCGTGAGACCAGGGCCTTTCCTCAGTGTGAAACCTGAGCCAGCAAACTGTGGCCCCTGCACTGCCGTAGTTGTTATAAATAAGGACTTACAGGAGCACACACTTCTCTGTGTATTATCTAATTCTGCTGTTGGATTACTGTACCAGAGTCTGGTAGCTTCCATAGATACCACAAAGCTGAAAACGTTTATCTTTACAAAAAATGCGTACCAACTGCAGTATAAATATCAACTTGGTCGTTTATGTGAGTTTTATGTGTTTCATAGCAATCTTAATTCATATCTTGGCTTTATTTTTTCCTCTAGATGCCTCTTTGGTAATAGAACATTCTTATTTCTATTTATTTTTATAATTTTTAGAGGCCAAGCCTCAGATGGTACAATTTTTCTAGAAGCCAGTGAATTAGAAATTAGAAATTAGAATTAGAAATTAGAAAATTAGAAATTAATTCATTAGAAATGAATTAGAAGCCCGGCTTCCAGGAGCGGGGTCTCCAAGTCGGCAGCATGGGGCCTCGTTTTGCCTATAGTTGACCCCACCTTTTCTGGCAGACTAAACGGGAAGAAGAGCACAAGCTCATCAAGTCAAAGGTCGTGAACGACGAGGAAGTGGTCCGCGTGCCCTTAGCGTTCGCCATGGTGAAGCTGCTGCGGTCCGTGCCGCAGGAGGTGATGGAGGCCAACCTGCCGAGGTGTGTGGGGACATGCCAGGCGGGCTCAGGCTTGGGCTCGGGCTGGGGCTGAGGCTGGCCCTTCCCGTCCACTCCGGAATCTCGTTAGAAGTCACCGATTGCTGTGGTTCTGTCTCCCAACCGGGAAATCGGGTTATGAAGTTAGGAGAAGGACGTTTGTATTTTTACTCGTTTCTGCTTAATTCATCAGCCATTTTTTACCTGTACTTTCCAGCATCCTGCTGAAGGTGTGCGCCCTCCTCAAGAGCAGGGCACAGGAGGTCCGGGACGTGGCGCGCAGCACCCTCGCCAAGATCCTGGAGGACCTGGGCGTGCGCTTCCTGCAGTACGTGCTCAAAGAGCTGCAGACCACGCTGGTGCGAGGCTACCAGGTGCGTGGTGAGCGCTGCGGCCCGGGCCGTGGGCCTGGCCAGGGAGCTGAGCCTGCGGGCAACTGCAGGCGGCGAGCAGCAGGAGAGAAAGGTGTTAGTCAGAAGCCTCCCGGGTCTGACTTTTCAGACGATCTCAGAGGCCTGAGTTATGACCCTTTTCCTTGCAGATTATTTGGTATCATTTCATATTCTCTGGACCCTGAACTCCCTGGTGAATGTGTACTGAATGTATTGGCACAGGGTGAACAGGAAAGAACCTGCACATTCGCTTGAGAGTCGGCACACAAATTGTAAAAGCAGGAAGGGCACCAGGTAGAATCTAGAGCATTCTGAGCGGGTGCCTGGCTGTGTGGCCCTCATGCTCTGAGCGCCCCAAAAGGCAGCACCGGGGAGTCTTGAGCCGTGCGGGAGTTTGGGCGCTGCACCTGGGCCACAGGAAATACATTTTGGGAAGACCTTCGGGTGACTCTACAACTTGTCTTTTCACAAGCCCGGCCAGGACGCCTGGTGGTCGGCGTCACCTGATGTATCTTCATCTGTTGACAGGCGCACCCAGCCTCCTCTGTAGGTTGTAGGGCTGACCCTAAAATATCAGTGCTTATTCTGACCGTCTGTCTCAGTGGTTGCTCTCGGAATTACCAGGGCAGACTTACTCTTCATACTACTCCTGGTGGAGCGTAGAAACCTCGCCATATGGGTCCTTCTGCCTCCCTTTTTCAGTTATGGTTGTTTACATCTCTGTGTCCTTGTCAGGCAGTAACACACCTTTAATTGTCAAACATTTTTAAAAACTCAAGAGGAGAAAAGTAGCCCATCTCTCTCCAGCTGTTTCCCGTTTCTCTGCTCCTCCTTCACTCCTGAGTCCCCAGGCTTCTGGCTGAAGAGCTCCAGAGCAGGCCGGGTCAGGCTGGCGGCAGCAGGCCTCACTTTGCTCTCTTCCGAGCATCTCCGTCTTCGTTTCGCCTCCATCCTTGAGGACCTGTGAGGTGCGGACATGATTCTGCCCTGCTGGTCCTGTTCTTCCAGCGCTGTCGGAGTGCTGCCTGCCACTCCCCCTGGCCTCTCTGGGGAGCTGCTCAATTTGTCCTCCCAAGAAACACACTATTTGGCTGCTTCAAAGACCTGGGCGGGCTGAGCTGTTCGGGTTGTACTTCCTCCCCTGCTTCCTGTCAGGGCAGTCCTCCTCGGCAGAGGCCCGTGACAGTCAGACCTTGTGTTCTCTCGCCGTGGCTGAGGCCTGGCTCATTTTCTTTCCAGGCTCCGCTCTCCGGTTTCAAGGCGGTCGTTTCTGTCAGTCTGACTGCGGTCCCCTGACTCCTTCCTCTCAGCGCCGTCCTGCCGCTGGGGTTCAGTTCTACAATCCCCTCCCATCTGTATCTTGCTGCCGTGGCTGGCATGAGTCTTGCCATTGAGTTAGTCCTGCAGCCTGAAGCCTGGCGCTCACTGCTGCACCTCGCCCTGCCCCTGGCACAGCCGCTCCGGTGCCCTCAGAGCCGGGCCCTGGCGGGGAGGAGACGGTGCCCTGTTGGAGAGCTGGGTGCGCTCTGCTTCCCTCTTCCCCGAGACAGGGCACAGCTCCTCCTCTCCCTGGAACCCGCGCCCTCTCAGGGGCCATGTCTGTTCGCTTCCCTTCCTGAACTGGAGTGCCTTTCGGTCGCTCACGAGAGGCGGGAGAGGCGGGAGAGGCTGGAGAGGTGGGAGAGGCGGGAGAGGTGCAGTGTGGCAGGCCCCCAGCTGCAGTGCAACACCTCGGGCCCAGGCGAGCTCCAGCTGTGAAGGGCACAGGGTACAGTCACGTGTCGCCCTTCTCCTCTGCACTGTCCCCAGGTCTGCCCTAGTGTTTGTTAAAAGAGCTGAAATAGGGTTGAGAGAGCAACTGGTTTAGGGTTTAGTGTCAATTGTGTAGGCACTGCCAAAATTCAGGGATTTTAAAGAAATTACATGAGCACCACAAGAAACACTTGTCAGTGTAAAAAATGGTATTCGGGGAAGGGGATGAAGAAAGAAGATGTGTGTGCGTTTACCGGTGCCCGTGAGGAGTGTGAGTGGACCCTGGATTGTAAACATGTACTGGTGGAAATTTTTGAAAATCAGCAGCCATGCAAAAAAAAGCGACATTGGCCACTGAAGCGACAAGCATGTGCGGTGCATGTGGGGTGCTGACCAGCCTGGCTGTCCGTGTCCACTGCAGGTCCACGTGCTGACCTTCACTGTGCACCTGCTGCTCCAGAGCCTGGCTGGCCGCCTGCAGGTCGGGGACCTGGACGCCTGCCTGGGCATCATGACCGAGGTGAGCATGAACGAGCCTCGCAGCGCCGCAGGGCCTGCTCCGGGAGGTCGGCGGGGAAGACCGTCAGCCTTCACACCGGGAGCCTTCTTCCCTCCGGGAATCCACTCTAGAGGCACAGTCAGACTCAGTCAGGCTGGGCTTTCTATAGAAGGATGCTTGGCTTAGGATAGTGTGAAATTAATAATCGGCTTTTAATAATCCTGGGAGGCAAGATTGGGAAGAGAATCAGTTTGCTGCGCAGCCCTTTGTTCACTGGGGAAATACAGACCGAAATTTTGAAGGTCAGTTTAAACACTCGCTCTTCAGCAGTTAAGATGCTGGGAAAGGCGTGGGAGCGTGTTTCTCTCACTCTCGTGAGGGGCTCAGCGGCGGCGGGCGAGCGGTGGAGCCCACAGGGCAGACCCCACAGCCTGCCCTGCACCCGGCCTTCTCTCCGCAGATGTTTAACCGGGAGTTATTCGGGGCTGTGGCGGAGGAGAAGGAAGTGAAGCAGATCCTCTCCAAAGTCATGGAGGCGCGAAGAAGCAAGAGCTACGAATCCTACGAGATCCTGGGCCAGTTTGTAGGAAGAGACCAAGTCACAAAGCTCATCCTCCCGCTGAAAGAGGTGAGGGCTGAGAGGGCTGTCAGGTCCCCGGCCAATCCTCGAGGCCTCAGCGCCCAGGAGCCTGCGTGGCCACCAGGGGCACCGTGCAGTCGGCTGCTTCTCCCAGGCCCTAGGAAGAGACTGGATTTACTGGGCGCTAAGCACTGCTGCCTCATGGCTTCCTGTCTGCACACCCATCCGGCCCGATCATGGTATTTCTGTTCACAGATAGAAAACTCAGGCTCAGGAGAGCCAGGCGAGGCGGTGCATACCTGTAACCTTAGCTGCTCGGGAGGCTGAGGCAGGAGAATCCCAAGTTCAGAGCCAGCCTCGGCAGTTTAGCAAGACATTATCTCAAAAGAAAGGCAGGCGGGCTCAGGAGAGCAGAAAGAAACGTGGTGAAAGGAGAAAGTCAGGCTCAAGTTCCAGATCTTTCTGGTCTGAAGTCCCTCCCATTTCCTTTTGTCCCCTACAAAGGAGAGAGTGTCACACACACATGTCAGCCCTGAGCCCTCGGCACTGTTACTAGCTCATTCTCTCCGGGTTTATTTCCCAGACCTGTGGCCTGAGCCCTAAACTCCGGCTGTCCCAGTGCTGGGTGAGCCCCGCGCAGTTCCCCCTGAGGCTGGTCCCCGGGTGACCGGGCCTTGGACTGCGGGCACCCTGCTCCTGACAGCAGCCGAGGCCACTGGTGTTTTGCTGGGGCTCGGCATCGGCCAGTAACTGACTTCCCACCCTGAGGCTTTGCCTCTAGCCCTTGCTGTGCGAGGTTCCCTTCACGAGGCCACTGGAGCACCCCTCGTGCACTCAGAAAGGTGCCAGTCGCCCGGGAGTCTCACGCGCCTGCACAGGTGCCCGGGCCTTGCCGCCGGGGAGGCAGGAAGGGACCCAGACGCTGGTCGGCTCTGGGCTGCAGGTTGGAGGCCTGTGTCCCTTCGGAGTAACGGTCACGCTGGCCACAGGTCCTGCAGAGCACCACGAGTCTGAAGCTGGCCCGGAAGGTGCAGGAGACCTTGCGGCGGGTCATAGCGGGGCTCCTCGCGAACCCCGAGATGGCTGCGGAGTCGGTGCTGCTGCTGAGTTACGGCTTGGTCAGCGAGAATCTGCCGCTGCTAACGGAGAAGGAGAGGTAAGCGTGGGAGAACCAGCCAGGCTGCCCTCAGGCGCTCACTTCTGAGAAGACGCTCGTTGGTTCTCAGAGGATTAACTTAGGGTTTCCCTCAGGCAGAAACAAGCTGTGTCTGTCCGACCTGTAGACGGTTCTGGGCTGGTGGTGTTGGGTGAGAGTCTTCCGAGTGAACCCTTCTCTCACCGGCGCTTCTTTGAATTGAGGCAATGGTGGCCGTAGCCAGTCTGACCCGTTGCCCAGCACTGGAGACTGAACCCAGAGCCCTCACACTAAGTTACATCCCCAGCCCCCTTCTAATTCTTTATTCCAAAACAGGGTCTCACGACATTGTCCAAGGTGGGCATGCACTTGCCACCCTCCTGCCTCAGCCTCCAGAGTGCTGAGATTGCGGCCATGAGGCACCATGCCGGGCCTCTCTGGCCCCATTTTTGTTTACTTATTCACTGACTGAAAGGATAGGTTTGAATGTGTACTCCGTCTGAATTCAGAGCGAGACCGTAAGCGCGTGCAAATCTCCCTCGGGCTTGCTGCTGTGTCCTCGAGGCCGAGTCCTCCTGTGCGTTCAGGCCGCGCCCCGGCTGTGCACCTGCACTGCTCTTCCGGGGCTGTGGTCGCCGTCCACAGAGGGCAGAGTGCTCGTTGTTAGTCCCGGGCATGGCTGATGGTGTCCTTCTGTTTTCACCCCCGTGACCGTGACCGGCAGGAGTCCCGCAGGCCCCGTGCCTGACCCCCGGCTGCCCCCTGCCAGCTGCCTGCTGCTCCCACCAGCCCCGGTGCGCGGCGGGCCAAAGGCCGCGGTGAGCAGGAAGACCAACATGCACGTGCTGATCGAGTCTGGGCTCCGGGTAAGTGGGCGCGGCCCCATCTCCCGCTGCGCCCCGTGCTGTGCACGGATGTGGGGCGAGGCCCGCAGTGGTCTCCGCGCTGCTTACCTGCGCAGTACCTCAGCAACCAGCTGTCCCAGGATTGACATCCCACCTTGTGTCTGCGGGACACTGGGCCCCACCACAACTGCCTCTGAGCCCGCTGGGGTCTCAGTGAGGACTGCCCTGGGCACGGATGGAGCCTAGGCCTCACTCAGCTACATCCTGGCCCTTCTGGATCTTTGGCTTTGAGAGAAGATGTCACAAAGTCACTAAGTTGCGCAGGCTGGGCTGGAATTCACGGTCCTCCCGCCTCAGCTTCCCCAAGTGCTGTGATTACAGACGTGCCCTGTGATGGGGAGCCCAGTCGTTCTCTGTCCTCGGGTCCTGGCTCCCGGGAGGAAGCCCGGCCTCTTCCTCACCCTGGACACATGTTGCAGCCCCGAGCTTCTCCCCAACTCCAGAGCCGCTGCCAGCCTCGGCCTCAGGCTGCGCCGGCCCCGCCTCCGCCTCCCCAGTCCCTCCGGGACTCCTGACCTTTCCCGCTCTGTCCCGACCTCGCAGCTGCTGCATCTGAGTCTGAAGACAGCCAAGGTCCGGGCCTCGAGCGAGTGTGCCCTGGAGATGCTGGACCCGTTCGTGTCCCTGCTCGTCGGCTGCCTGGGCTCCCGGGACGTGAGGGTGAGCAGTGGCCGTGCCCCTGGGGAGATGGGGTCTGGGACACCAGAGCCACGCCGTGCGCTGATGGCTCCCGTGTGTGTGGAGCTGACGTGGTGCCGCTCGGCCCCGGATGGAGCCAGGACGGGTAGAGGTGTCCCTGAGCTGTCCCTGAGCTGTCCCTGCCGCTGCCGCCGCTGTCGGGAAGATGTTAACGCTAACCCTGCCTCCCCCGGTGCGGACGTTCTCAGGGTTCCCTAGGTGGGAACACAGGCCGGGGGCTGTCTGAGAACCAGGGGCTGCAGGACCCCACTTCTCCCGCTTCCCACATGACAGCGCTGGGGCCGGATAGCGTCTCTGGAGTCCCGGTTTAGGTGAAGGCCAGGACGCAGGCTCCGCGCTGTGGCCCCGTCTGCCTCTCGGGCCCTGGCCTTCAGTTGGCTGTGCGGGGCCCCTCGGACTGGCGCACCTTCTCCATGTCCTGTGTTCAGCGCTCACGTGCTGTGACCCTGGTCGCTCCCTCGCTCGGTTTCGGAGCCAGCTGTCCGGCCCCCAGCTCCGCATTGTTCCCCAGCAATGATAAACGCAGCGCTTTGGACACCGTGTGCCTGGCGAGAACGGGTGGCACCGAAGGCGCTGTGAAACAGGCTCTTTAACAGCGGCCAGCTGCCAGCCGGGAGCAGGGAGGCCGCACCTCTGCCCTGGCCTGCGCCCTGCCACTCGCGGGCATCCGGACTGCCCTCCTCCGGCCTGGCCGCCGGCCCAGCACTGGTCTGACATGTTGCTTGCTTGTGAGCTTCGCCTGCTTTTCCTTGTCCCCAGGTCATCACGGGCGCGCTGCAGAGCCTCATCTGGGTCCTGCGGTTCCCTCTGCCATCCGTAGAGGCCAAGGCGGAGCAGCTGACGAAGCACCTGTTCCTCCTGCTGAGGAGCTACGCCCGGTTCGGCGCTGCCCGGGGCCAGAACTTCCACCTGGTGGTGAATTGTTTCAAGGTGGGTGAGGCCAGGTGGCTCAGGTCAGGCGGTTTTCCCGGAGCCCTGTGCCCTGGGGCTGGAGGGCTTGCCTATCATGTGGGTGCTGCCTGCTAACGCTCTGCTGCGCCTGCAGTGTGTGACCGTCCTCATGAAGAAAGTCAAGTCCCACCTGGTCACTGAGAAGCAGCTGCGGGTCCTGCTGGCCTATGCTGAGGAGGACATCTACGACTCTTCCCGGCAGGCCACTGCGTTCGGCCTCCTGAAGGTACGGTGCTGCGAGTGGTAGCGCCTGCAGGTTTCCAGCCTCCCCGGTGTTCAGAATAACATGGACTTGCTGTGGGATAAGCTGTAGACTTCTGAGTTCATTCCTGTCAGGGCTGTCATTTTGATGCGTCAGAAACAAGCTAACGTGTCTGCTTATGGAAGCGTTCGAAGCCGGGGGGCTGAGGCAGGAGGATCGCAGGTTCCAGCCCAGCCTGGGCAACTGAGCAAGACCCTGTCTCTACATTCAAAAACAAAAACGGGTAGAGCTGTAACTCACGGTGGAGGCCCTAGATTAGCCTTCAGTACTCAGAGAGAGAATGTCTGAGCTCTACTGACATTCCCGGGCGCTCTCCTGTTACTTACTGTATTGAGTACTTTTTCCTTCTTGAGGTAAAGCACATGTTACCTGAAATCTACCATCCTACCCATTTTTCGGCGCACGTTGCTTTTCGTGTGGGGTTAGTTTTGTTACGTCTGAAAACTGCCCGCTGTGCCTGTCCGCGGCGAGCCCGTGACGTGCGTGCCTTCTGCTTTCCCATTTGAGGCTATTTTATCGAGGAAGCTGCTGGTGCCGGAAGTCGAGGATGTCATGCGAAAGGTGTCCACGCTGGCCATCTGTGCGCAGAGCGAGCCCGCCAGGGTCCAGTGCCGACAGGTGTGTGCTGCGCACGGCTGCGCCCGTCAGGACGGCGGCCTTGGGGTCCCAGTGAGGACTTGGGGGTTGGGGAAGGACAGCAAGAAGCTGCCTCGGTCTTGGGCAGGGAGGGCGGGATCCAGCCTGTCCTCCCCTCGTCGGAGGAGCGCATCTGTGAGGACGCACTGAGGGGTGGCGTCAGGGCTGTGGGCAGGCTTCGCCCGGAAGGGCTGTCGGGGCTCCGTGTCCCACCGTCCCCACGGGGAGTAAGACCCTGGGTGCTCGTGTGAAAGCAGGCTGTGTGGACTCTGGCTCGGCTGGCTTTCCGGTGCCACACAAGCAGGGTGCCCCATCACTGTAACCCGGCCAGTGTCCCCCGCTTCCTGAGGGGCTGAGGAGTCAGCCAGGACACGCAGGCCGCGCTCGGTGCTCGGGTGCATGGGGTCCCCTCGGCGTCGCTCCCGCCCCTGCCCACCATGCATCCCCAGCACCCCACACCCCCTGGCAGAGAAGTGCCTAGGTTCAGGGTCTGCGGGGACAGGCACGGCCGGCCAGGGTACGAGGTGGCCGGGGGCAGCCTCGGGCAACAGGGACGGGGTGCCAGGCTACACGCTTGGTGGCAGAGTACCCGGGAGCCAGCTGTGCCCTCGGGTACTTACACCCCTGCAGGAGCCCTGGAGCGGGGCTCAGCTGCCGTGACTGACTTCTGCCCCTGCAGGTGTTCCTGAAGTACCTTCTGGACTATCCCTTGGGGGAGCGACTGCGGCCCAACCTGGAGTTCGTGCTGGCGCAGCTGAAGTAAGCTTTGGCCTTGGCCACAGGGCTGGGGCTGGAAGCTGCACATTCCCCGGCTGCCACCTTGTGACCCTCGGCTTCCGCTAGATGCTGAGCTCAGCTTTGCGTGGCAGCGGCAGGGGTCGCTTTGCACACCAGCTCCTCTGAGCACTCATGGTCCCTGGGGCCACTCGGGAGCGGTGGCGCCACTCAGTGGCATTTGGAGCTGCCCAGCAGCCTGGCGGAGGCGGCACACGGCAGTCAGGGAAAGCACACTCTGCCCGGAGCACGAGGAAGGATGGCAGGGAGCTGCTTCTGCCGACGGCCGGTGCAGCAGGCACTCAGCCCTCACGTTCTGCCGCAGTTATGAGCACGAAGCTGGCCGGGAGTCCGCCCTGGAGCTGATCGCCAGCCTCTTGGACGCCTTCCCTCAGGTACGAGTCCCACCGCGCTGTGGCATGGTGCCACCCCAGCCCCTCACCGCCCACCCTCCATGTGCTCAGCCCGCCCCTCCCACAGGGCCTGCTGCACGAGAACTGTGGCCTGCTCTTCGTCCCGCTCTGCCTGATGATGGCCAACGACGCCTCAGCCTCCTGCAAGAAGATGGCGTCCTTGGCACTCAAGGCCCTGCTGGGCAAGCTTGGCCCCGCGAAGAGGGACTGGCTCTTCCACCTGGTCACCTCCTGGTTCCAAGGCAAGAAGGTCAGTGGGAGGGCTTTGCCAGGCCCACACTTTACATGGGCACCTGTGGTGGCTACGCCGGCCTCCCAGCAGTCGGGAGGCTGAGGCAGATGGATCCTGCGAGTTCTAAGCAGCCTGGGCTAAAAAAATCGCATTTTGCACTGAGTTGGCCTGTCCCCAATACCTCTGTTTTTATCTGATTATGGAATATTTTTAAAATTTCAAAAAATACAAGAAATAACAGAAAAGTAACCAAAACGTCAGCTGTGTTCTCGCTGCATTATAAATGTCATGGGCCTGGGCCCTGCTGGCAGGTGCCCTGGTCCCCGCTTCCTGGCGCTCCTGACACCCCACCTCTGTGGCCCAAAACCCCATACAGCCCGGCTATCGAATGGCTGTTGTTGCCCCCTGTAATTTGGAGGTGAGGGGGAGACATCTTTCCACTCTTTCTAATGGATTTATGCATCACAGAACTCGGTGCATAAAAGTGCCGCTTTAAAAATACCCCTGTGAGGGCCAGGGATTTAGCCCAATGGTTCCGTCGCCTGCCTCGCAAGCACAAGGACCTGAGTTCGATCCCCGGTACCAAAATAAATAAATAAATAAATAAATAAATAAAAATACCCTTGGGTGTGAATTTCTGCCCATTTCTTGGCATTCAGAGCTCCACAGAGTACACGGAGGCCTGGCGTCCGGAAGCTGCGTGTCCACTCCCTGGCACCAAGGCAGGGCCGCCCTGACCCGCTCTGCTTTGTTCTCGCAGCGGCTGAACAGACAGCTGGCCGCCCTCACCTGCGGGCTGTTTGTGGAGAGCGAAGGAGCCGATTTTGAGAAAAGGCTTGGAGCCGTGCTCCCTATCATTGAAAAGGAAATTGACCCTGAAAACTTCCAGGATGTAAGTGATTTTCTGGGAATAAAACTGCACCAGGCCTCATTGAAAATTGTTATTTGCAGTGGCGAAAGCTGTGTTCAGAAGCTGCTGTTCCATAGTAAGAGTTGAGGGAGCTGGAGCTGCCCTGCGTGCGGAGGGAGAGAAGTCCCTCCCCGGTCCGCGAGCTGACGCGTCGTCCGCCTGCAGGGGGCGCTGCGCTGTGTGGGCGCTGGCAGAGGCGGAGGCCTGGCTTCGCCCTGGGCAGGTGGGCAGGCGCCCGGGTCTTCACAGACGCCCCTCCGCCCCTGCACAGATCGTGGAGGAGATGGCGGAGAAAGCCGCAGACCGCCTGCTCTTCAGCTTCCTCACGCTGCTGAGCAAGCTCATCAAGGAGTGCAACCTCCTTCAGTTCACCCAGCCCGCCGAGACGCTGAGCAACATCTGGGGTGAGCGCTTCCTGTTCTGTGCTGCCTGAGAGAGATCTGGGATTGGAACTGGAACGTTTCAGGAGGTAGTGTCAGGAATAGTGTGCATGATGAAACAAAACGAGAGCCCGTCGGAGCCTGGTATGGTAGCCCCGGCTGTGCCCAGCACTCCAGAGGCTGAGGCAGGAGGAGCTCTGTGAGTTTGAGGGTAGCCTGGGCTACCTCGTGAGACCTGTCTCAAAAAATGCTAACAGCATGAGCACCGCCTTCCTTCTCGTGAAGCGGGAACTGGGCATGAGGGAGGACAGGTTCAGGCCCACACCCGCTGGCCCGGGAGGCTGCGGATCATGGTGCCCTCACTGCTTCCCCGTCCCGTGGCAAGCGGCAGCCGTGACCGCCCCCCCCCCCCCCCCCCGAGCACGGGTGCTGAGCTGCCGTCTCCCAGGTCACACGCACGCGCACCTGCGGCACCCGCACAGCTGGGTGTGGCTCACAGCGGCCCAGGTCTTCGGGCTGCTCTTCGCTTCCTGCCAGCCCGAGGTGCTGGTCGCGCAGTGGAAGGCGGCAAGGACGACACAGAGACCCTCGGGGGACCCCGTGGCCATCCGCTTCCTCACCAGCGATCTTGGCCTCAGGGTGCGGCTCCCCGGGCCTCTTCCCTGGTGTCCTCTGAGCTCCTGGGAGGCTGCGGGGGCGGGCGCGCTCCCCCGAGGGAGGCAGCGGGCGTTAGAGGGCGGGGTCGGCCCCTGGAGGGTGCAGCGCTGGGTGACAGGCAGCCGTGCCTGGCCACGCCGATTCCCGGGCCGAGACCCACTCGTGAGGACGCTAAGCACCAGCCAGCGTCCACGGGGTTATGGCCCGCGGGTCCTCGCTGAGCCCTGTCCGCGTCCCTCCCGCAGATGAAGAGCCTGTCCCTGGCCGCCTGCCACCAGCTGCACTCCAAGTTCCTGGACCCGGTGCTGGGCGAGCAGGTGAGCGCCGCACTCTGCCGGGGAGTGGGCAGCGGCCTCCACCTTGGACCTGTCTGTCCGCCCACGCCCTCTTCCACGCTGGGCAGGTCTCACAGGCCGCAGGCAGCTACAGTCGGGCGCGCGCGCGCTCTTGGCCCACGTGACTCATGTGGAGCAGCCGGAGCAAGTGGCGTAGACGCCGAGTGACAGCGCCCATGTCACCGCTGTGAGGACCGCTGCTGCTGCTGCTGGGGTGGCTCGGGGCACCGCTCAGCCAGGGCTGGCGGGCAGAGGGGGCGTAGGGCAGAAGTGGGGTCGGCTGGTCCCAGCCTGCGGGAACTGACTGGGAGGCGACTCCCGAGAGCAGCCTCGGGCGGCCGGCCCGGGAGAGGGAGCCAGGGCCTCGCCGGGGTCTCCGTGCCAGGCTGGCCGGAGCAGGTCGGGTGCTGGCGACTGCGGACGCAGCGCCTCTGGCCAAGCCTCTCGGACAGATGGGCCTCAGAGCAGCCTGCGCCATGAGGGAGGCCCGAGGCCCGGTCCTTGAGGTCAAACCCGGCCGTGTGCGTCCTGTGGGCTTGGGGGAGGAGGAGGCCGGCCCCAGAGAACTTGGTCCTGAACTCAGAAGAGCTCTGCGGGCTGACCGACCACTCCCTGGGTGTGGGGCGTCATTTACTGCCTGCGCCTCGGCCTCCCCTCCTGCTCACTGCACCTCGGAGACCCGTGCGGCCAGGCCGGAGCCCCGGGGAGAGCCTGACCACGCTGTTAATGATCAAGCCTGGGGCTGGGGAGCTGAGCAGTGCGCTGCCCACTTGCACTCTCTCTGCCCCCAGGGTGCCCCTTCCAGCGTCTCGCCTGATGAGCCCGCTTGCTTTGGAATCTAACCCTTCCCACCCCGTCCCCCTTCTCTGAAGGTTGTGAAGAACTTGCTGTTCATAGCCAAAGTCTTGTACTTGCTGGAGGCTGATTCTGAGGGTGCACAGGGCGAGGCGCGAGGAGCAGCCACGGACGACCCTGGGACGCCGGGCGCCGCCTCGCTGCTGGGGCTCATGCAGAGGCTGGCGCGCATGGCCAAGCTGGAGGCCGCCTACTCGCCACGGAGCCCCTTGAAGGTGGGGCGGGTGGCGGAGGTGGCGCCCAGGACCCCGACACTACCGGGCCGGGCCGGGCTGGTCCGAGCCTCAGTGAGCGCCGCGGGGCTGGCTGCTGACGGCCACTCTGTTGCAGAGGACCTGCATCTTTAAGTTTCTGGGCGCCGTGGCGCTGGACCTCGGCGTGGACCGGGTCAAGCCGTACCTGCCCGTGATCGTGGCCCCTCTGTTCCGGGAGCTGAACAGCACCTACTCAGAGCAAGGTGGGCTGCCGCCTCTGCCCGCCTCCTGCCTGTAACCCCAGCCAGGCGTTCGCACCTGCGGGCGAGTGCAGCAGCACCGTGCCAGCTGCTCACGGGGGTCACAAGGGCGCGGTGGCCAGGCCAGGTGTGCTGTGCTCCAGGTCGCCCTCCCTTGCTGCACACCCAGGTGGCCTGGCCCGGGCCTCGGGTGGAGAGGGCTGTGTGGCACCTGCCATCCACAGGCGGCCTGAACATGGGAATCCCTGGTCCCGGGTAGTCGCGTGGCGGAGCCACCTATGACCTGTGGCCGCGTTGCCATGTTCATCCCCTCTCTGAGCAGACCCTGCGCTGAAAAACCTGTCCCAGGAGATCATCGAGCTGCTCAAGAAGCTGGTCGGGCTCGAGAGCTTCTCCGCAGCCTTCGCCTCCGTCCAGAAGCAGGCGAACGAGAAGAGGGCGCTGAGGAAGAGGAGGAAGGCCCTGGAGGTGCGTGTGCCATGCGCGTGCCACCGACCCGGGCTGCCCGGGGCCTCGGCGTGGCCGCCTGAGCCGGCCCATGTTTTCAGTCGGGCATGAATTGCATCACGATGTTTAAGGCTCATGCAAATGGCACATTTGCTGCATTCAGCTTACATTGCTTTAATATGTACTTTAAAAGTAGTGTAGGGCGGGGATTTAGCTCAGTGGTGCTGCTGCCTGCCTCGCAAGCACAAGGTCCCGAGTTCGATCCCTGGTACCAAAAAAAAACCCCAAAAAATAAATAAAAGTAATGTACTATACGTCCCAGCACACGGGAGGCTGACGTAGGTCAATCTCTGGGAGCCCGAGGCCGGCCTGGGCTACAGTGAGTTTGAGGCCAGCCTGAACTACATAGCGAGACCCTGTCTCAAAACAAAAGTACTGTACAGTAGGTCCCGGTTTCCCGTGGGTTCCGCTCTGGAGGAGCCTGTCAGTCAGACTTGTCTGAGCGCAGTCAGCCGAACACCGAACGCCTGGGACAGTCCTCGGTCAGCGACTTACTGCGAAACTCCTCTTCTCTTTTTTAAGTTTGTAACTAATCCTGATATTGCTGCCAAGAAAAAGTTGAAGAAACATAAAAATAAAAGCGAAGCGAAGAAGAGAAAGATCGAGTTCCTGCGTCCAGGCTACAAGGCCAAGAGGCACAGAGGCCGCAGCCTGCGGGACCTGGCAGTGGTGGAGTAGCAGCCCTGGCCCGGCCCAGCCCGCTGTCCGGCGGGAGAGGCAGGGTTTGTTGTTTATAACAAGCTTCCAGGCAGACTGTATGATATGTATACCCTGATGTACTCCCTTCTTTTATAAATTAAAATGCTTAATACTGCTGCTGTATCCTCTGTGTCTAAAGAGCACCTAACACTGAAAGTTTAGACTGTAACTTTTTAATAAAAAGGTACTTTATGTTTTTAATAGATTTTATTTTATCCCATTCCCCCCTCAAGCCCCCTCCATGTACAAAAGCTTTGTTTTCACTTTTTTCTTCTATTTTCACTTCTTTCTTGTCCCTTCCTTTCTCCCTCCTCCCTTGTTCCCTTCCTATTTGAACACTTTCTTCCCACTTCCTAACATCCATTATATATCTCAGTCCTTATTTCCACTTTTGGTTTCTCACACCAGAGAACGCAGTATTTACACGTGTCTGATTTATTTCACTTAGGAGTACGGACGGTCTCAAGGTCCATCCGTTTAGCTAGAAATGTCTGAAGCTCATCCTTTATGGCAGAGTAGCACTTTGTTGTATAAAAAAAACACATCTTCTGTATCCTCTCGTCAGTTGATGGGCAGTTGAACTGTGTCCAAGATTTAGCTATGGGTGTGCATTCATCACTGTGGTATGATTCTTTTAATTCTTTGGGGAAGATAACCAGCAGGGGAATAGCTGGATCAAATGGGACTTCCAGTCCTAGTTCTCTGAGGTATCTCCATACTGATTTCCACAGTGGTTGCACCAGTCTGCACTCCCACCAGCAGTGGAGCAGGGTTCCTCTTTCCCCACAGCCCCACCAGCATTTGTTATTGGTTGATTTCTTGATAGCAGCCATGCTTTCCAGGGTGAGGTGGAATCTCAGCGTTGTTTTCATCTGCATCTCGAATGACCAGTGATGTTGAACATTTTTTCATATGTTTGTTTGCTATTTCTTTTTTTGTTTGTTTTGTTTTTTGTTTTTGGTACCGGGGATCGAATTCGGGTCCTTGTGCTTGCACAGCAGGCAGCAAAACCACTGAGCTAAATCCCCGGCCTGTGCCATTTCTAATTCTTTATCTGAGAAATGTCTTCATTTCAGATGCCCATTTTTGCACTTGGTCTTCACATTTTCGAGGTCTGATTTTTTTTAGTTCTTTGTATATTCTAGACAATAGTCCTTTATCTGAGTAGCTGGTAATTTTTTCCCACTCTGGGTTGTCTCTTCACTTTCTTGGTGGGGAAGAAGGTAATTTAAAATAGCAAGAAGAAAGGTAGAAGTTAGGAGGACGTGAAACAGTATTTTCAGTAACACCCGATGGAGTGGCATTAAGAGGAGACAGCCTACATTGTGTTTGTGCTAGGGCAGGGTAGCGCCCCCCATAGGAGTCCTTCCCACGGGGATGCTGCTGGTTAAATGCAAAAGCCCCACGGAGTTCCTCGCATCACCCTAATAAAGCTGGTCCCAAACTGCTATGGGAGGAGGTGGGGCCGCCATGGCGAGCTCAGAGGAGGACAGATCAAGGGCCTGCCCTAAGGATACCAAGAGAGACTGGAGAAGTGCAGGTGAGAGGGAACAGGGTGAATTCTGCCTCGTCAAGACTAAGCGTTAAGACACGGCTAGTTTATGGCGCTGACCAGACAGTGCTGTTGAAAGGTTAGTAATACCAGGCTGGCTGGCAAGTACCTGGGCATCCGTACAGAGTCCAGGAGAAAAAGTGAAAGCCAGACACTGCACAAAAGAAACAAAGGACCCTTTAACAGCCACCCGGGCGTGGGCCACACACCTGTCGCCTCGGCACTCTGGGGGGCTGAGGCAGGAGTTTCACAGGTTTCAGCCCAGCCTGGGCTACCTGAGAAGTTGGTGAGACCCTGTCTCCAAATAGAAATGACCGTGGCGCTCGGTGGTAGGGCCCTGGGCTCATCCCCAGTTGTGTGTGAAAAATAAAACTACCAAGCAGCAGCCGTGGCTGTACCACTGAAGTGCTCACTGCGGGCTGCGCAGTGCTTACTGCCTGATGCCTGCGTGTCACCTGGCTGCGCGAGTCCCACTCGGCCCTCCCAGCTGAGACGCTGAAGCGTCAGGAGTGTCTAGGACTACCGGGGTCCGCGGCACCAGCTCTGTCTAGTTGTGAAATGCTTGGAGTGCAGCCGGAAACCTCATCCGAGTTAGAAAATGCAGCCAGCGTGAGATTCGGCTGTGAACAGTCGCCGAGGCTGACGAGCTGAGTCTGACCTAGAGCAGGACTCACAGCGCCCTGGAAACGGGTCTGGCGCTCTTACAGCCCTTGGGGCGAGTGCGTCCCTGGCATCGTCGTCCTCTCAGGGAAACTCGGAATCGGAATCTGAAGGCTTGGGCCAGAAGCAGCCCCCAGCCCCTCCACAATGGTAACGAAGAGCAGTGACCGTCGGACAAACCCTAGCGGCAATGTTGGGGTCAGGACAGGTCATGGAAAAGAAGCTGAATATCGCCATCGCCAAAGAAAGCCTGGGAGGACGGGGACCTGCACGGTACACACGTGAGAAGTGTAGGGTAAGGAGGGGACGGGGGGGGGGGGACTGCGGCCTGAGGCGGCGGTGGCGGGGCCTCCAGCTGCTACTAAAGTTGTTTCAGATTTAGGTTCCCGCCTTCCCGTATTTTGCTTCATTACGGGTTTCGTGTTTACCAAACACCTCCTAATGGACTGTCTACCGTGCGGCCTAACCACTAAGGTTCTAGTGCAAAGAAAACGAAAACGTGCCAGTAGCCACCGCTTCCCCAAGCCTGAGTCCTTGCTCGAAGGCCTCACAGCTGCCCCGCATAGCCACCGCTCCCTCCTCGCTCACCCGCTTGCCCTGGCAGGAAGCGAAGGCCCGGGCGGAACTGGCAGAAGGGGAAGGGGGAGAGTCCGTCCTATGTGCCGGGCCTAGCTTCCGTTCTAGTTCTGGCATTCCCGAGATTCCTAGACTCGGGTCCGTCTGGCAGTCGAGGAAGTGGACACGCGGCGGCCGGGAGCCAGGCGTGCAGGCCGCGAGGCAGTCCCCGGCCTGCACCATTCTCCCCAGAGGGGTTTGCCATGTGTGCCCGGATGGTAAGCACCGGGCTGCCCCCAAGGCTGCTCTTAACTCTAAGGGGCTTCCAGTGCACGTTCGGCCTTCATAACAGATTTACACATCAAGGGCCGGAATACTGAGGTAAGCATCAGAAAGCAGCAGCACAGCACGGACAGTCTGTTTTAAGCAGCATTTATTTATCGGTTGCCTTCCATCAGGTGCACACCAGCGGCCAGGCACCGACAGGACGTTAGACAAGGTCCCAGCTATCACGGCTCTGCTCAGGTTTCCACAGCTCCGGGTCCACATCAGGCTCTCGGGGGACAGCAGTAAATCCCACCCAGCGTCATGACCCAGGGCAGAGCTGGAGACGGGCGGCACCTTTCCTGACCCGCAGTGAAGCAGGAGCCGCCCACACCTGGACTCGTGTTCGTGTCCCCAGGCCGCACACGGGACACTTGTCCTGGGCACACAGGCATGCACAGCCCGGTGGCTCCGGCCTCCTGCTAGACAGGGCCAGTTGGTGAGCGCTGGGGCCAGGGGTCTCCCCGGGGGGCTGACCTTCCCCGCCTGCCCTGCGGGGGTCCCAGCCCCACCCCTCCTCCGCACCAGGCCTGGCCCAGGACCTCCCACGCTGGCATACCCTGCCGGGGGCAGACCCCAGGGCCTAACGTGCCAGCGCCAGCGCCAGCGCCGTACTGGACAGCGAGACCCAGCGGGAAGGCGGTTTCTGCCCAGGAAGGGGTGGTGCGCGTCCTGCTGAGCGGGGAGGGGGGGGCGAGGGGCGGAGCGTCGTCAGTCACGCCCAGCCGGGGCAGGCAGGCCACAGCACCTGGCAGCGGGAGGCTGCGGGGCTCAGCTCCCTCCCAGCACCCATCTCCCGTCTCGGCAGGCACGCAGGCGCCCCGGCCTCCCTCCGGGTCAGATTCTCACTGCCAAGGGCCGGGCTTCTCCCTGCAGAAACAGGGCTTTACTCCTAAGCCATCACGTGTCCTGTTCCAGGAAGTAAATGGCGTGAGAGGCAATGAAGACATCTTTTATAATGCTTCTTAAAATAGATTTTATTTCCTTTACCATGAATGTGTGCTGAGAACGCGTCAGCCTAAGCCAGCTAGGGCTGCTGGGGGAGGCCGCCGGCCAAGCCCGAGGTGGGAGCTCGGGCCTCGACCGCCACAGCCCGCACTGCCCACGCGGGACCGTGCGTAACCACTAAGTCCTGTCTGAGGACAGCCACACTCAAGGGGAGGGCGGGCGCCTCTCGGGGAGAAGGGGAGATCTGGGCGATTGTTAGTGTTCACACAGCCAGGACGACTCCGGAGTGTGTGTGTGTGTGGGGGGGGTCCCTCAGAGGGGAGGGGGAAGAAGAGGAAGAAGAGGAGGAGGGAGAGGAGGGGGAAGAAGAGGAAGGGGGAGAGGAAGGGGAGGGGGAGGCGCGTCCTTCACCAGAGCCCAGAGCCATTTAACAAGAACCGCACACGCCCGGGAAACACTTCGTCCCGAGGTGAGAGGCGCACTGTACGGGACGGAGGGGAGGCTCTGCCTGGGCAATGCCATCAGGTTCCCCGCAGCAGCCAGACGCTTCCTCACGGCGCAGGAGCAGCCCCAGCACTACTGCCTGCTCTTCAACGTCTCCACCAGCCTGCGGAGAGGGCCGGAAAGCGGGCAGGCTCAGGCGCCCTCCCGGCGGGGCGCGGACGGGCAGGGGACCCCACGCGGCCGCCGTGCGCTCACCACTCCATGGCCTCGTCCAGGCCAGTGCCCTTGGTGGCCGACGTCTTGAAAATCTGCCACTTCCGGTCCTTCAGAGCGGGCAGGCCCAGGGCGTTCGCCATCTCTGAGGGCGTCATGGCCTGCTCCATGTCCTGCTTGTTCGCAAACACCACCAGGATGGCCTTCCTCAGCTCCTCCTCCTAGGAGAGAGAGCACTTCACATCCCGCGCCAGTCTGCTCCCCCGAGGTGAGGAATAGATGCCGAGAATGCGTCTGGGGGTGGGGTGCTTCTTTTTGAGAGGCTCCTGCTGTGCAGTTCAGGCTTGAACTCCCTATGGAGCCCGGGGTGGTGCCAACTTGCAGTGACCCTCCTGCCTCAGCCTTCCAGGTGCTGGGATTGCAACCCTGGCCACCGTGCCCAGCACAAGTATATTTAAAAATTATTAATAATGCTCACTACAAATTATTCAAGTGATAGATATATAAAGAGAAAAGCTCCACCTGTATCCCTACCTTCTAAACGTGATCACCATTAACAGTATTTTCTACTAGCACTGTGTTCTGCACATACTCATTAAATACATTTACCCACTGAAGATATGTATATGTACTCCTTCACCTTGCTTTTTAAAAAGTAAAATTACAAATGTTTCTCTAAGCCCTACAAATTCTTTCAAGGCAGACGTGTGGTGCACGCCCATAGTCCCAGCAGTAGGAAGGCTGAAGCAGGAGGATCCTGGGTCCCAGGCCAGCCAAGACCAGGTGCAGAGCCCCAAGGTCTGGTGCACGGCTCGATCTGCACAGGTGGAGGCTCGTGCAGCTGGGCGCTGTAAACACAGGAAGGGCGATGACAACATGCAAGGGCCGGCCATGTGCAGCAACGCAGAAAGCGCTGTGCCTCCACACGACGCCTCTGAGCTACAGGGGACACTTTGGGGGTCAGGGCACAGGTCAGCAGGACGGCTATGTTGGAAGCACGGGTCCCAAGAGGGACGCCACAGGGCCGGACCCGCCTCTGCAGCTCTACTTCTGGAGCAGAAGTTGCAGGTACACAAGGAAACGTCACCAGCGGGGTGGGGAGAGCCTGTCTGCACACGTGACCCTGGGAGTCAGGGCGTCCGCGTCTCACCTCCAGCATGGCGACCAGCTCCGACTTGGAGATGCCAATCCGGTCCCGGTCACAGCTGTCCACCACGTAAATGACCGCATCCGTGTTTGAGTAGTAGCATCTCCAGTACGGCCTACAGGGTCAGAGAGGTAGGTGTGTGTCACATGTGAGAGCGCCACGCATGCAGCCATGCCCCGTTTCTCATGGGCACCACCCGGTCGGTTGTGTGCCCCTTGGAGGCTGCAAGGTTGACAGGATACTAATAAATAGGAAATCACAGCCAGGTGTGCTGGCCACACCTAATCCCAGTACCTGGGAGGCTGAGGCAGGAGGATCGCCCGGAGTTCAAGGTCAGCCTGGACTACATAGAGAGACCCTGACTCAAAAACAGAACAAAATTAAATCAGGGAACCAAAAAGTTCTGAAATGAGTTCAGACTTCAGGATAAAAGAATAGAAGTTATAAGATATTAAATGTATTAATAGAAGTCCTACACATTCCTGATCATTGTAGCTTAAAGATCTTTAACCAGCAATTCCTTGAAAAGGAACAGACTTAATTTTAATGTGATTTTATATAACAGTCATTAGTCATCAAAGGCACCAAGAAGTAGAAATGGCTAAAACTAAAGTGGAAAGTGACCGAAGAGATGAGTGAGGCAGGCGGCGGTACTCGATGCCCCTGCTGCCAACAGCAAGCAGCACAGCCGCAGCGGGCCGGGCGGGAGGCGTCTGCGGCTGTGGCACTGGCTGCAGGGTGGACCTGCGCTGCGGGCTGGGGACTGAAGCTGGGCCTCATGCTGAGCCCCGTCCCCAGGCCTCTTTACTTCTCACTCTGAGAGGGGCTCTTGCTCAGTGGCCCAGGCTGGCCTTGAACCTGGCCTCCTCCTGCCCCAGCCTCCCGAGTATCTGCCCCATCACGACAGCCTGTAAGGCGTTTTCATAAATTCCAGAGCAGTCTCTCTCAGAGGAGCTGACCAGACTGAGAGGGAGGGCCCTTCTGAATTAGAACTACTGACAGGAGCCAGGGGTTTAGCTCAGTGGTTCCACCGCCTGCCTCGCAAGCGCAAGGTCCCGAGTTCAATCCTCGGTACCAAAAAACAAAACAAAACTACTGATTAATTAGGTCTTGACGTTTTTATAAGATTTCTTACTTAAGGGATAACTGAAAAATTGGCTTCCTTGGATGCACTCAGGAAACAGGCAGTTTCAAATTTTACCTCATTTTAGACTAGCAGCTCCCATCTAATTTATGAGAGAGACTGTATTTTGATTTACTGCTATTTAAAAAAACCAATCGATGCCAACACTCAGGAGGCTGAGGCAGCAGGACTGCTGCTGAGCTTGAGGCCAGCCTGGGCTGCACAGTGAGACCTTGTCTCAAAAAGCAGAAAAGAAAACACAAAGACAAAAATCAATCAATGTTTAAATACCACAAAACACAAACGAATGTTTATACCGTACCTGATACTTGTCTGTCCTCCTAAATCCCACACCTGGAATTTCAGGTTTTTGTATGTCACCGTCTCTACATTAAATCCGATGGCTGAAAGAGAAATCAAACCACTAGCATGTGCAGACGGACGCGTGCCTCCACAGCAGCCAGTGTGCCTGTCCAGCTGGTCATCATGTGCGTAACACAGACACACAGCTCCGTGGTCCTGCTGTTAGTGCCCGGGGTGCCACACTGCAGGGCTCAGAAGCTGTGTTTACAAAGTACACTGGAACTTTGGTGGACATCAAATAAACAAGGATCAAAAACAAGCGCAGCTGGATTCTGCACGGCACTGCACAGCTCTGTGGAAGCGAAGCCGCACTCTCCTGGCTGGGGTCTCAGTGCCCTGAACCCTTCCCGCTGCCTCCTCAGGCAGAGGTGCTGTCCCCAAGAGGGGCCAAGGGTGGAAAGGGTGCCGAGAAAGCTCAGCGTATGCGAAGAATACTTACATTTTACAAGCTTCAAAAATCAGTCAAAAATGACTTCGGGTCCTAACTGGGTGATCAATGTTGGCTTTTCATCAACTGTACTGGAAAGTGATTCTGAGGGTTTGTTGCGCTTATCTGTCTCCCGCCACTGAGCCATGGCCTGACTGAGGCTAACAGCAAGCTCAGAACGTCCCCCTCAGAGCAAGGCAGGCGCCTGACCACCTGTCACTGCTCACAGACTGAGCTCAGGCAAAGGCTGGGAGATGCCGCCCTGCAATGCCACCCACCATGTGGGCACCGAGGGCCACCAGGGAGGCCGGACGGGAGGGGACAGAGAGGTGAGAAGCGAGGCAGCAGAAACGAAGAGACGCCACAGCCTCACGAGGTGCCTTCATGAAATCTGAAACCCTAAAGAGTAACTGTGGGGTGAAACTAACAATTCCCAGCAAACTGCAGAGTCGCTGGGATGGAGTTTATGCACCCTATTCTCCAAACTCAATCAACACGGGGAAAGTGCAGTGTCAGCAGTATTCCCATGACACCAAACAGGGCTGCTGGAAATCTTTTTTTTTTTTTTTTTCTTTTTTTTTTGCAGTACCAGGGATGGAACTGAGGACCTTGCGCTTGCGAGGCTGGTGAGCTGCCACTGAGCCACATTCCCGGCCTATTTGAGAATGTTTTTCTACACAGCAACAATCTGAAGTTGAGGCACTGCTGTTTTTAAGTACTGGTTTACTTTAATATTCAGTCTACAAATTAGATCTTTAGAAGAAATCAATAAATTACTGGAGAGAAACTAATCATCGTTCAAAGAGTGGCAATACAGACAAAAGGCACTTTCCATGCACTAGTATGACTTAACATTCATATAATTCTTTCCAGAATTTTGCAAAGCAGTGTCATAAGCTTCATTTTCTTTCCCCTCAAAGCCCTCAGACATTTATTATCTTCATTTTAGCACTAAAGCTACTGATTCTCAGAGAGATTCAGTGACTTAGGCCAACTTCAGCTGGCGCTGCAGCGGACAGAGGGTCCTCATCCCACCAAACTGCTTCTCACTGGTGGAAAAACTTCTCAATATGATGTCCATAAGTTTACAGTATAATTTTTTATAATTATTCAGGAAGCCTTATTAGAACGGAAACCTGAACACACTTACAATTAGTTTATCATACAATACTTACTAGGAATAGTTGTAACAACTTCTCCGACCTGCAACCTGTACAAAATTGTGGTTTTTCCTGCACCATCCAATCCCAAAATTAAAATCCTCATTTCCCGGGTTCCAAAGAGGCTGGAAAAAATACTTGAGAAAAAGCCACCTAAAAGATAGTAAAAACAAAAATGTAGTCAGTATCATTTTGTGAGCTAGGTCCATAAAACATTTCATCTTGCCCTTTGAAAGCTATGTACCAATTAACAAAAATAATTTTTCCTGGATACACAGGTAGTTATTTTTGCTTTCAGTAAAATATATAATTGAGCACCAACAAGTCATTAGTGATGTCAGTAGGTCCTATATAGGGCACCAGGCAGGCGCTGATTGACAGAGCCAGTCTCCTCCAGGAACTGTTTCTGCTCCAGGGCCAAGTCACCGCCTCCGAGAACCAAACACCCTGAGGCCCCTGCACATGAAGAGCAGCACTGCCACCCTTACTGTCTGCAGTTACTCAGCATTCTCCACCAGGCAACAAAACTCGCCCAAAAAACTGCGCTCACAAGTCAAAAGCTACCAGAACTACTTTGGAAAGAAAGTTCATTTTATAACATAAAGCTACACCCAGCAGGGCGTGCTGGTGCACACCTGAAATCCCAGCACTGGGGAGGCAGAGGCAGGAGGGTCGCCACGAGTTCCCTGGGCTACACAGTGAGTTCAAGACCAGACTGAACTACACAGCAAGATGCTGTCTCAAACGAACAAACAAAAACAATAAAGCTACACCCAAATGTACTAAGAAATACTTCCAGAAAACTTCCAGAGGGCAAATGTTCCGGGCAATGTCAAGGTACTCCAGGCACAGTCCCCTTCCGACCAAAATTCACGACAGAAAATGAAAACAGTTACACGTTACGAAGACAAAAGGGGTGGGGGTGGGGGGGCGGACAACGACAGTGTGTGCTATTCGGAAAGGCCTGGCGCTCTCCAGGGCTGAGGCCGGGGAGATGAACGCGCCGGAGGCTCAGGGAGGCGGGTGGCCGCGCAGGCGAAGGCGCGGGAGCACAACCTGAGGGACCAGCGCGGCTCAGCCCCTGGGACGGGGAGGACGGCGCCGAGCCGAAAGGCCTTCGACAGGCCCGCGGGTGGAACGGTTCAGGGCCCGGCCCAGCGGCGCCTCCCGCCGCCTCCGCCCCCCTCCGGCCCGAACGCCTCACCCATGATGCGCGTCGGTCCTCCCTCGCCTGCGCTCGGCAGCGACTCCTACTCGACCTCGGCGCCGCCACCTCCGCTCGCCCGGCTCCGGCCGCGGCCCCCGCGATCGCAGGCCGGCCCCGGTCCGTCCTCGGGACTTCCACGTCGGCGCCGCGGGAGGGGCGGGGCGGGGCGGGGCGGGGCGCGCGGCCCACGCGACTGTGCCCGGGCTCGGCGGCCTGAGCGTCCGTGTCAGCGCTTTCGACACCGAAGCCCCGGCTCGCGAGGAACCGGTGCCGAGGATACCAAACTAAAAAAATTAGAGGACATTCCTCTCTCCTGATTCTGCTTTTATGTGTAGGAAAACCTTCTGAAATAGGGAAATTTTGATTTTTATGTTGAATTCTGACAACCAAATGTGGCGAATCGGCGAACTCGGAGGGTGAGGACGGCGTCAAGCAAGCGGCGCGCAGAGTGCAGGCGCAGGCTGCGGCGGCTTCGGAACACGGGTCCTGGATGTAGTTGCTGCGGGTTGTCCTGGCTCTGCCCGCTTCCGCCCGGAGGAAGCGCGGCTACGTCATAACCATGGGAACCCCCGCCAGCGCATGCGCAGGAGCTCACACCCGGCAGGTTGGCCGGAGCGGTATTTCGAGTCGGACACCGGATACTGCCCGGGTCAGCGGTTTGGACAGGCGGATGCGGGTCAGGGGGCGGAGGTTTGCCCCCCACCCCCCAGGGGCGTCCTTTGGAAGCTGTGTAGATCTTGACAGCGAAATGTGCGTGGGAGCAGGGGAGATGGGGAAAGCGAGTCACCAGGCTTTCCGTATTTTGTTTGTGTTTTTGAAACAGGTCTCACTATGCAGCCCAGGCTGGCCTCGAGCTCATTGGCGATCCTCCTCCCTCAGCCTCCCTAGCGCTGGGATTACAGGCGTGCTCCACCACGTCAGGCTTAGAAATTTTCATCTTTTGAACAGTTTATGGACTAAAAATTTTTCCAGCCTTAGAGATATGTGACAAATGTATATATTTGGCATGTACAGAGCCATGTCTCGACCTAAGTTATCACCTGACCGTTTTTTTAATTTTAGTTTGTTAGACACTATTTTTACTCCGGGTTTCTCATATAAGAAAAACCATGTGATATTTAAGTCTTTATTTTAGTTTATCAGTCTTTTTGTTTTTATAGTTACTTCCGTGTATGGTGAGAACGTTACAATCTCATAGCAATTGTCAAGTGGACCATGCAGTATTATTAAGTAAAATCGCCGTGCCTGCGACAGAGTCCAGGGTGTGTGCATAAATGAAACTAGCCTTTTCCTGACAGTCCTCCACCCCAGCCCTGTATCCCTTGGGAATCGCTGGGCTGACTCAGACCCTTCTGAGCCACACTTTCTGGGATTATTGATATAGGGTGATGGTTTTTCTGTGCTTTCTTTTTTTTTTTTTTTTGGTTGGTTGGTTTTGGTTTTGGTTTTTTGAGACAGAATCTCACTATGTAGTTGAAGCTGGCCTTGAACTCGCTGTGTAGTCCAGGCTTGAATTTGCAGAGACCTTCCTGCCTCAGCCTCCTTAGTACTGGGATTACAGGCGTGCACCACCATACCCAGTAGGCAGTTTGATGGAATACTTTTATTTCTCAAAATATACCCACTTAATCCTTTGCCTTTTCAGTAAGCGTCTGGTCTAGTTCTTGGGATGCATCACAAACGAAACAAAAATCAGAAACCCACTGGTGCTCAGGAGCTTTGGATCTAATTAAGCTTTTTAAATTGCCTTACACTCACTAAGACGTAAGATCTATGGGCGCAAGTATTTTCTTTTCCATTTTTCTGGCAATTTTATTCTTGTGCATTAGCACTAAGCAAATATTTGTTAAATTATAAAATAAATGGGCTGGGGGCGTCCCGGCCGCGAGCTCACCGTGTGCTCCCTGCTCCTTGGGCTCCTGCGGCCGCCCCGCCCGCCATGCCCTCCTCCTCGGAAGACATCTACGCCGCCGCGTTCCCGGGCAAGCGCCCCCCCCCCCCCAGGCGGCCCTGCGGCTGCGCTTCATGCGGCTGTCGGAGCACTCCAGGAGCACGCCGCCGGCCACGACCTGTACAGTGCCGGTGATTATATAATACCACCGATGGAGAACGCTCTTGTGAAAACGGACATTCAGATTGCTCTTCCTCCTGGGTCCTATGGAAGAGTAGCTCCACGATCTGGCTTGGCTGCCAAACACTTCATAGATGTTGGAGCTGGAGTCATAGATGGAGATTATAGAGGAAATGTTGGCGCTGTGCTGTTTAATTTTGGCAAAGAAAAGTTTGAATTAAAAAAGGCGATCGAATTGCCCAGCTCATGTGTGGACGGACTTATTACCCAGAAATAGAAGAAGTTCAAGGATTGGACAGTACCGAGAGGGGTTCCGGAGGCTTTGGATCCACTGGGAAGAATTAATTAAAATTTAGGCTAAAATGAGAAAATGCCCTTTTTTCTTAAAAAGAGACTTTTTGGCTAAAGTGTTTTATACATCTGTAAACTTAAAATTTTTAATTTGCTATGGTAAAGGAAAAGGTATCTCAAAAAATGCAAAAAAAACACAAAGGTGTCTCTGTTAGCATCGCTTAGAAACTTTGTGTTATCTGCAGTTGAAGGCTGTATATAAATCTGATTTGTGGTGACCTGATACAGACATAAAAATCTAATGTATATCAGTTACAGATTTTTAAATAACTGTAATTTAATTCAATAAACATTCAACATAAAAAGTAAATAAATAAATAAAAATAAATGAGCCGGGGATTTAGCTCGGTGGTTCTGTCGACTCCATCACAAGTGCAAGGTCCCGAGTTCAATCCCCGGTACTAAAAAAAAAAATTATAAAATAAGTTCTTGAGGGCAGTGTCATAAATATTAGTTAATTCTGACACATATGTTCTGCGATTTGTTAGACTGTTTCCTAAAACAGTCCTAACTGAACCACGTTTCCTAATTTGATGAAAGACGCCAATCAAGGAAGTTGTCCTATTCGCAGCGAAGCCACCAGGCGGCGCTGTTGCTTCAGAGTAACTGGAAGGCTCCTATCAGTCGCTGGATTTCTTACAAGCCGAGGGGACAGCTGAATCCTTTTCAAATCTTATGGTCCGATAAAATATTTCTAAATTTTAAAATATGCATGTGCTTTCACCAATATCACTGTTTAAAATTTTGCAGCTTTCCAAAGAGTTTTCCTGTTTGCTTTTTGTTTTGTTGTTTTGAGGCAAGTTCTCATGGTGTAGCTCAGCAAGCTGACTTTGAATCTGTCATCCTCCTGCCTCAGCCTTCCCAGTGCTGGGAGTACACAGCGAGACCCAGCAGGGCCATGCTCTTCGGCGAACTCTAACATAAATACCTGCACAGGGCACCGGAAGGTGTGTACGAGAATGTCTAACTGGCACCATTCATAAAACTCAGAGCTGTGAGGCAGGTGTGGTGTTGCATGCCTGTCATCCCAGCACTTGGGAGGCTGAGGCAGGAGGATCAAAGCCAGACTGGACTGCATAGCGAGACCCTGTCCAATAAACAGAATAGGACAGAGTTGAAATAAGGAAGTTCTCTGAATGTTGCCCAACCTGCTGTGTGGGAAAGACTTGAAATGGCACGGGTCCCACCAGCCTACTTTGCATTTCCCTTGAATACTTTAAAAAAAAAAAAACCAACTTGCAGGATTTGTTTTCTAGAAAGAACTTTAACTCAAATATTAACTTACCATTTTGGGCAGAGAAAAGAACTGCAGAGTCACCTTCTGGTCTGAGTCACTTTGTGGCCTCAGCGCCCTTCCACGCGGATTCTGTGCAGCCCCAGAAATGCTCCTTTACATCTAACGATCACACACATCCACCCCGCCCCAGAGGGCAAACCCAGGGTGGCGCCCCAGAGCACAGCCCAGTCCGGTCCGGTCCCACTGCACTTGAACCAGAGATCCTCCTGCCTCAGCCTCCCAGAGTACTGGAATTACAGGCATGGGCCACCGCTCCCTAACAATTGTACACATTTCACAATGATATATCTTGGCAAGTAATCTGTATCAATACGTGTAGATCTGTCTCATTCATTTCACCAGTTGAAAAAACGCTAAATGATAAAGTGGAAATTCATTAGTGCTAATAAATAGCATTTCTCCATCTCCACCTCCAGTCTTCTCTGGCACTGGAAAACTACCCTGCCACAAAGCCCACACAGGTGTGTTCCTGAGGGAAGGGGCACTGCCCAGATGGGGAGGTCCAGTTTGGGCAGTAGCTTGACTCAGTGTGATCCACAGTCAGACCTGAGTGGTCTCCCTGCACTGAGTCCTCCACCCTGGAGTCAATATCACTGCTCCCGACAGTGAGGAGAGGGAGGCTGACGCCACCCCCAGACAAGAGGGCCGGGGTCCGGGAAGGGACTCGGTGAAGGTATCCTTGCCCACCGTGGTGGGGCACACCTGTCATCCCAGCGCTCGGGAGGCTGAGGCAGGAGGATTGCTCCAAGCTTGAGGCCAGCCTGGGCTACACCAGAGACCCTGTCTCAAAAAAAAGACAAAGAAAGAAAAAGGCATCAATTAAAAAATTGATTTCCTATTAAAGGCTATGCTTCCTGGGGAACCATATGACCTTAGGGATTATACATGTTCGTTCATTCAATAAATAAATATCCACTGAGCACCAGCAATAGGCTGGTCACCGAGTTCGGCCAGGGTCTTTCCCTACAGGAAGGAAAACATGTTATTCTCAGCATACAAACAGGACGTGAAGCTGAGGCAGGAGGATTACAAGTTTGAAGCCAGCCCGAGCTACATAGTGAGACCCTGTCTCAAAGCAAGAAAAAGCATAACAAAGGAACATAGAAACAAGGAAATAAGCAAGATGCATGCAGATTGCAAGAAACGCCCGGAAGGACAGTGGTAACGGGGTACACCGTAGATAGCTAAGAGAGCAGGAGGGGAGCCAGGCCACGGAAGGCCGGGCGGTGAGGTCACAGGGGGAACCGGAAGCGGAAGTGAGAGGCCACAGGGGCGTGGCCCGTGTCGCTGCTTCTCACGGTGAAGGGCTCGGCTTTGCCCAGGGCTCCGACACATGCGAAGGCGGGCCATCACCTGATCCTGTATTTTATTAAGAACACATGGACAGGAGATTTAGCTCAGTGGTTCCAGCGCCTGCCTCGCAAGCGCAAGGTCCCGAGTTCGATCCCCGGTAC